ATTACAAATGCGAAAATGTTTACTAGTGCAAATAAACTAAAAGGACTCTTGGTGGTACCCTGGAAAATGTACGGGCACTAACTGCAAGGTTGGTAGCTTGATCCACTTCCCCCATTCCTCCCAGTGACTCTGCAGGAGAAAGACCTCTAGTGTTTTGCTCATGAAGTTGTAGTCTAGAAAACCCTACTGGGGAAGCTCTCCTCTCTCATATTGCTCGATTGGGAGTCAAAATAGACTCGATGGCGCCTAACTAGGACACCAAAACGAAGAGTTTCCAGTGGCTGTAGTCTCCAGTTAAGTAAGCTTCTTCTTTCAATTTTCACATGTCTTGTTATTATAGTGATGTGCCATCGAAACAGCCAACTTTCACTTGCAAGCTGCTGCTTGCCATAGAGGCTTGGGAAATATTGTTAACTGAGTCAGCTCTTTGCATAACTGTTGTCATAAAGGTGAACGATGAATTCATTCACTTTATTCCTGGATTTGATCTCAACCCTGGCGGGATCATGTTTCCTCCATGAATAAAAAATGACAATTCGACCTTGAGTTCAGAACATTTGGCTAGTCTGTGTGGTCAGTGATCTGTTGCTTCATTTTAAATTTGTTGCGTTTTAGGGTACAGAAGAGACCTAATCTCAAATACCATTTAAAGAAAACAGTAATTGTTCATAATTAGCGCATCATCCATGTTACTGGGAGGAGGCTCAGTGTCTCAAGCCTCCCCACCCCTCGGTTCTGGTCCTGCTCACCTGCTCACAAGAAAGCTATCAGGTGAGGGACACAATCCAGAGTCAGAGAAAGGGTTGAACAGAAAGAGTGAGTTTATTGAAGGGGATATTTTGGAAAAGAAAGTCCAAAGGGCCCTTAGCTCGTCTAAAAGGCCTGGTAGACTGTAGAGCCAACTTTATATTTTGCTAATGGGGGACCTCCCACCATAGGCTGGCTTTCTGGTGGGGTCTTCTGCTATTGGCTGGTCCGCTGCAGTGTCCCTCCTCTTTCTAGGTATGTGCCTCCCAGCATTCCAGACCATACTGTGCCCTTGTGTCAGACTCAAAACCCAAGAGTCTATTCCGTCTCCTCCAAGCCTACACTCTCTGGTCTCTTCCACTGATAAGAAAATGTTTCTTACTTGCCCTCCATCTCTTCTTTGTGTTGGGGAGGCAGGGGAGGAGCAATGGGTCTCCACCACCTTTGTGTTACAATTTCTGCCAGATTCATGCCATCACCACCTCTGCTCCCTTTGTCAGCCTCTGTCTACCCAACAGTCTGGATGAGGGAGACTGTTAGCATGAGGCTAAATGGTGTCCAAGGCTTTACAGTCAGGAAGCTAGTTAAATAGAACAAAGGAAAATGCCACAAATTCATGTGGCAGGTCAATACATCAGACTTACAAGTCGGACCACAGAAGTGGGAACAGGACCATACTTCAGCCTTCTGAGCAAGGCAGTCAAGGCACAACAGATAAGGCATGACTTGTGACCATGTGACTCCCGTACGGTCCCAGCTATGCTGAGGGCACATTCATTAAGAACACATTCTGGTAAGTCCCTAAAAGAAATTGCTCCTCTCTGGGCTGGCTAGAAATCGAGGGAGGGTAGTCCTCGAGTAAGGGTAATCCACTTCCTAAGGCACTCTGCCCAGGTAATCGCTTTCTTAGTCACTCTGCCTGCAGGCAAGACTATCTACATCCTCATTAAGGATCAGAAGGAATTCAGCAGAAGCTTAATCTATGTGGGGACTCTGCTAATGGATTTGGCTTTCTGTCACTCACAGCCTTCTACAAACGGGGTGCTCAACCTCTAATTCAACCTCTAATGCAGTTGAAAAGCACATATGTTCAACACACGAATTTCCTTTCTAATAAAATTCCTTGGAGTGGGTTTTTAATGGATGCAGAAGCTGCTGGATAAATCTCAGGACTCCATTTTATTGAAAATGTCTACCTGGTCATGTCATCCCTGCC